TGATCCTGAGTCCTCGCGGCTGTGAAAGGTGTAGGCGGCCACTGCGCTGAGTTACCGAGGGGCTGGCTGGGGGCACAGCAGGAAGTAGCGACCGGGATGGCCACGAGTGGGCACCCTCAGAGTGTAAACGCTCAGACAGGGCTCGGCCCTGCCCGTGGATCTTCATTCACCAGATAGATGTTTGCTGAGTGTTGACCACGTGCCAGGCACTGTGCTGAGAGCAGGGACATGGTGATACGAGACGAACTGAGCCCGCCTTGCACTTAGGCCCTTCCTTAGGCCAAAGGAATGAGGAAATGTCCCCTAAATCACCACAGGAGAGCCTGAGTGAGGGACAGAGGGGCGGCTGTGACCATCCCATCGATTCCTGGACAGCATATTCTCCAGAGAACACCACACTGAGGAGCCATAGAGTTCCCAGGCTAGCCCATAACATTCTGGGGATATGTGGAAAGACAGGAAGGCTTGGAAACGTCACTCCAATTTACAGCTTACATCTCCGAGGTAGTGAAAAAATTATTTTATCAGCCAACAGCAGAATCCTGCGGAGGGAGCTGCACCATGTAGGAGATCTGCAAGCAATCTGCACAGACCTCACATGCATGGGGGAAACCAAGGAAAGGGTGGCTTCCTCCAAGTGGGTTGGCCCAGGAGAGGGAACGGCCTTTGGGGAGAGGGGTGATAGTGAGGAGTCAGCCAGGCAGGGACTCAGGCCAAGAAGCAGCCACGAGAAGGAAGGCCCCAGGAACTGTCCCCCTCAGACTTCTTGGGGAGAACACTGGACTTCCTGAGGTCATGGGAGAGAGGCAAGCACCAAGTTCTCCCTATCTCCAGGCCTGAGTGACCTCGGCTGACATCTGGATAACATCCATTACACAAAAGAACCTGTGTCCAAACCCCAGCAGCAGCCCCAGGAGGGCTTTCAAACACCCAGCAGTTTTTAAAACAGCTTTAGAGATGCTTTCACAATAACAAACTCACAACAGCCACATGGCCTCAGCTGCGGCTCACACATGCAGACACACACTTTCACCCACATATAATAAGAGCTAACATTTAGTGCATTTTTCGTATATGCCAGATACCGTACTATTGCTTTACACGTATTAACTCATGCAGTCCTTATAACAGACGCTTGGGGCAGGCACTGCTGTCATCTACAGGACAGCTGCAGTTGCTTCCACACCCTTCCAGGGCTCCACTTCACTCAGGGCCAAAGCCAAAGTCACCTCCCCACCCTCCCTCTCACTCGTCTCCAGGCACAAAAGTCACCTCCCTGCCCTCTCACTGGTCTCCAGGCACACTGACCTCCTCAATGTCTCTCCAACATGCCAAATAGGTCCCTGCCTCCTGACCTTTGCACTCGCCATCCCATTTGCCAGCAACACCCTTCCACCTGAGAGCGTCACAGCTCACCTCTCACCTCCTTCTGTTCTTTACCCAAAAGTCACCTTCTCAGGAAGGCTTCCTCTGCCACCTAATCTAAAATTGCAACCCCTCCCCACCTACACACATGTGGTGCTTACCACCATCTGACACAGTCTATGTTTTGTCTGCCTCCCCACAGGACCTGCACCTGTGTCTGTCTGGCTCACTGCCATGTCCTCGGTGCCTGGTGCAGAGTAGGTATTCAGTAAACACCGAGTGAAGAAGAGGAAACTGAGGCAGGCAGAAGTTCGGCTCCTTGCTCAATATCTACAGCCGGTAGGTGGCAGAGGCTGGATTCCAACGCAGGCTGGCAGCTCTGGAGGCTTCCTAGTCACTGCCGCTGATTTCCCGTATAAAAGTCCCTTCGCGCATCAGAAACGCACCACCCACTTGCACGTGTGAGCACAGGCACATCCCTCAAGGCCCAGTCGGTCTTGCACACTCAGGTCTGCCCNGGCCCTGGTTAGGACTTGGATGGGAGACTGCCTGGGAATACTGGGTCAAAGCCAAAGTCACTGCCCCATCCTCCGCTCCTCCCACCCTCCCTCTCACTCGTCTCCAGGCACAATGACCTCCTCAACGTCTCTCCAACATGCCAAATAGATTCCTGCCTCCTGACCTTTACACTCACTGTCCCATTTGCCAGCAACACCCTTCCACCTGAGAGCTTCACAGCTCCCCTCTCACCTCCTTGTGTTCTTTACCCAAAAGTCACCTTCTCAGGAAGGCTTCCTCTGCCACCTAATCTAAAATTGCAACCCCTCCCCACCTACACACACGTGGCACTTACCACCATCTCACACAGTCTATATTTTGTCTGCCTGCCCCACAGGACTTGCACCTGTGTCTGTCTGGCTCAGTGCCATGTCCTCGGTTCCTGGAGCAGAGTAGGTATTCAGCACACACTGAGTTAAGAAGAGGAAACTGAGGCAGGCAGAAGTTCGGCTCCTTGCTCAAGATCTACAGCAGGTAGGTGGCAGAGGCTGGATTCCAACCCAGGCTGGCAGCTCTGGAGGCTTCCTAGTCACTGCCGCTGCTTTCCCATATAAAAGTCCCTTCGCGCATCAGAAACGCACCACCCACTTGCACGTGCGAGCACAAACACATCCCTCAAGGCCCAGCTGCGCACTCAGGTCTGCCCCAGCCCCCAGGCCGCACATACAGGAACTTGCCGTCAGTCTGCGTCCCCGAGTAGAGTTTGCGCTCGGCCTCCTCGCGCGTCAGGTTGCTGTGGTACCAGGGCATCCGCTCGTGGGCCGTCGTGGCAATGAGCTTCTCCACCTGGGGCGCCTGGCTGATGATGGCCTGCTCCAGGGCGTCGCCCTAGGGGAGGAGGGGCGAGGAGGATCGCACGTGTGGCCAGGGGGGCGGCCACGGGAACCCCCTTTCATCTCCTAGAGACCCCCCGGGCGCCCCAGGACAGCCTCCGCCATCTCCACGGTCCCCTCCCCAATCCATCCAAGGAGAGACCAGACCCCAGTCTCCACCTTCCAGCCCGGCCCCGAGCGCATCCCCAGCTTGAAGCTGCAGGACACGGCAGCCCACCGTCCCCGTCGGCCGCCCTCACCTGCAGCTTCCACGTCTGGCGCACGTAGTCGCGCACCATGGCGTCGCGCAGGCCGTCGAAGACCCCGGGCTGCGGCTCCAGGCCCGCCGGCCGGTT